TTGATGATGAGCAGCGAGAACAGTCGGAAGAGGTGCTCTGAAATGAAACTTTGTCAAATTCTTGGTAAGGGACAACCACACCACCAGTCTGAAGAAGGTCTTTGAATGAATCAAATGCAAAAATACATTTACCTGTGAATTAACGCCCTTGTGATGATCAGCGATATTTTCTGCATTCCCGAGGAACTGCAGCTTGTCGTACCCGTGACAGCGATCAGCCTAAGAACAGAGAATAAGCTGGTTATTGTCAGGCATGATGCTGTCGAAGAAGATGTGATACCCATAAAGAAGTAGATGTGAAAAACGAAAAGGAAAAACGTCGATGAGGAAAATTGCTTTGCAAGGAATTCTTCCGCTGACTCCTCTCAAAGACCGTGTCTGTAATCCGCAAAGGCACAGCTTCCATAAAAATGGTTCTTTCGACTTCCTTCTAGGACTATCCAGTGGCCCAGGACGCTGTTGGGACGAAAAACTCAGTAGATAGGGCATCATATGAGCCCCAAAACCGGACTCACCGACGTCCACGCTCATCGACCGATGATGTGCCAGACGAGTGTCGAAGTGATACAGGTTGCGCTATTCGCACCAGGACCCACACGTTCAGCATAAAACTAGCTGGTCGCCGAGTGGTGAAGTGATGTTTTTACTCTTATTCTGTTAATATCTGCTATTCTTTTTGCCGCTGCGGTCATTTTTCTAGTTTTCTATCTTACAGCTGGCTGGTTTCAGTAGGCCCAAGTTGCCTGCATGCAGCGAGTGCGTTCGACGGCAAATGGCCCAACCTTTAGTGCCTCTGCAATGCCGTGAAAACTCGTCCGCCTTGGGTGTGCACGACGGTTAAGCCAATTTCGGTGCCCTTACTACGCCCTATCTGAACTGTTTTTCAACAATAGTCTCCCTAGTGTTATCCGTGGGAGTCACAAATTCATTCAAGGGAGGAAACTCAGAAACTATTTTTATCGCGAACACTGCCTTTGAGCGATGAGCCCTGAGCAAGCAAAAATGCTATGCCACTTAAATTTGCCCTGCTTGCTTATCATATAATGACCATAAAGGAACAAAGGACAACTAGCTACATATCCCTACGAACATTATTCGTTCAATCTGCTAATAGAAACTTGAAAAAGACAAAAAGTTAACAACTGAAGTGGCTGGCTAACCTTTACTGCTAACGCATTACTGTTCACCACTGGAGCGAAGTAACCCGGATTCTCAGAGCAACGCGATTTTTCTTTAGGAATCTCGAGTTCTCTAAAATGCTGAGGATGTCAAACTGAGCAACAAATGGAAGTTCTTAAATAGACAACAAACCTCAACCTTAGCGACCTCACAGTTTCTAAAATGAATTGGAATAAAGATGGGAAATCCTTTCTTCGTACAATGCCGTCAACGAACGTTTCGCGATCTTTATCTTCCACGTATCGAACATCGGCGTTGATTCGGAGTCTGAACAACCACTTTATCCTCGAATTTTCTAATTCGTTTAGGCTTGAAGATAGCTGTACCTCAGGATACATCCATTTTCTCGTAGCTCGAAGAAGAGTATGAGTAAAGGCTTTCTCATCGGCTCATCACCACTGCGCCGAACGTGATAAGTGGCATCAACCATGGCTCGGTCCGGATCGACCCATCGAACAGCAAAACGTTCTTGCTCAAGGCGTGATATCTGAAACATCGGATTCTCACAGAATCAGAAAAAAGCAGAGCAAAGGAAAGGAAAGGTCGGGTCCAAAAAAAAACGTCACAGCGACCACGCTTGCGGACGACGCCCGAAGCATCCTACGATGGCTGCTTACAATTAGTATGGGTGAAAAGCGTAGTGGTCGCGTTGGCGGCTCTTGGCTTATGGTAGGAAAAGTAGTTACCGTATCAGGAAAATTGAAATTCTGTAGACTGTGAGCTTTGAGATCGATCACTTCAAAGACCGAGTTAATATTAGTGATGGCAGAGATGTCGATTAGGTCGGCTGGCTTTGGCTGATCGCTCTGGAACGACTTCAAAACAAAATCAAAACTTACTACAGGGTTGATGGGCTCACCTCTGGTAGAGCAGGTGGCTTTTCTTCGACAAAGCTCCAACTGCTGGGTTTTCTTGAGCGCTCATGAAAACAACTCGTTGAAGGAGAACAACCCTGTAGGAAGTCTCCTAGTGTAAAAGAAGATCTTAAAAAAACACCTCATTTGGTTCGAACCACTGCGACCCGAGTCTCCTCATCGTGCTTCGAGATGGAGCCTCAAAAAAGATATAGGATAAGAGTGCACCTTCGAGCTTTTGTCTGCTCTTCTGAATCAAACGGATCTTCATCCTCGTCTTCAGGACAGCTCGTCTGGGACACCTCGGAGGAGTAGTTAAGATGGCGAGATTTCGTGGTGAACGACCCTTTCTTATTCCCTGTAACAGAAGCTACTCAAGAGCAATCAGTGTGAAACCTGAATCGTAGACAGGAGTATCATGAAAGGGCAAATATAGAAACATTGTCAAGGTAGATGAAAAGCTTACTTCGTTGAGCTTTCCCAGCAAGAATTTTGGTGACAGGGTGAGGTTCGACGACGTTGATGAGAATCCTGGCTGGCTCAACTTCGTCTTTGTCCACTTCTCTTCGCTCTCTCAATGCTGCTTGGAAATGTGAGTACTGAAAGAGTCATTTCGGACAAATGGCCAAAAAACGTCTACAAATCGAAGGAATGCCGACCATTGAACTCAGCAAACTCACCTTGTGTCCTTTTCCCTTTGTAGAAATCGTTCTGATAGCCCCATTTTCCTCTGCATGGACTTCTGATACATTTAGATTTTCGATAGCAGTCAGACCTTAGAAATATTCTTTCTTTGAGATGGATGATCACATTCAAGAACAGAAAAACAGGAAGTGATTAAACTTCAAAAAAAGAAATCTGAAAACTAACGGCGAGGTGTGATGACACGATTAACAACGAGTACTTCAAGGTTAGAGCGACCATTGTTTCCCAGCAACGTTGGAACGCTGAGCTACAAAATGAAGACAATTAGGTTCAGAATTGAGGAGTCACAGGAGCTGATACTCGACGTGGCACAGAGGTTTCTTACTCTTCAATGGATTCCTCCCATACAAAGCGCTCTTTCAAAATGAGGACAACCACGATGTAAAGAATTCTGTCTATCTTGTGCAAGTATCGTTTTGAGACCAAAAAGTTGGGTAAATAAGTTTTCTCTGAAGTTCGTGTGCATGCCAGAGCTTGAAGGCACGGCACAATGATGCCGAGGAATCTAGTTTAAATGAA